TAAACATGAAGGAGGTAAAGTCTCCATCTTTCTTTAGGGCTGCATAGTATTCCATGGTGTACATATACCACAATTTATTGATCCATTTGTGGATCGATGGGCATTTAGGCTTGTTCCGTGCCCTAGCAATTATGCACTGTCATACTTTAAAGATCTGGAAAAAATAATACTTCGTCTTATATGGAATCAGAAAAAAGCTTAAATAGCCAAGACATTACTCATAAATAAAAACAAAGCAAGAGGAATCACGCTACCAGACCTCAGACTATACTATAAATCAATAGTGATCAAAACAGCATGGTACTGGCACAAAAACAGAGAGGTAGAATAGAGAACCAAGAGATGAACTCAGCTACTTACAAGCCAATTTAAAAAATTCAGTGGGGAAGATTCCCTATTTAACAAATGGTGCTGAACTGGCTGGCCACCTATAGAAGACTGAAACTTGACCCACACCTTTCACCATTAACTAAGATAGACTCTCACTGTATTAAAGATTTAAACTTAAGACATGAAACTATAAAACTGCTAGAAGAAAGTGTTTCCGGTATTTGGAAACTGCTAAGTCTACCTGTGCCTGGGGCTCTTTACTCACATGTATATCCACTGGGTGGGAAAGCACTTGAAGAAATTGGCCTGGGCAAAGATTTTATGAGGAGGACCGCCCCCCCCCGCCCCTGGGCAATTGAAGCAACACCAAAAATACATTACTGGGACCTGATCAAACTAAAAAGCTTCTGCACAGCCAGGAACACAGTAAACAAAACAAGCAGACAGCCCTCAGAATGGAAGAAGATATTTCAGGTTATGTCTCCAACAAAGGTTTAATAACCAGAATTCATAGAGAACTCAAATGTATTAGCAAGAAAAGAACAACTGATCCCATCTCAGGGTGGTCAAGGGACTTGAAGAGAAACTTCTCTGAAGAAGACAGGTGCACGGCCTACATATGAAAAAATGTTCGTCATCCTTAATCATAATCAGAGAAATGCAAATCAAAACTACTTTGAGATATCATCTAACTCCAGTAAGATTAGCCCACATCACAAAATCCCCAAACCAGAGATGTTGGCATGGATGTGGAGAAAAGAGAACACTTCTGCACTGCTGGTGGGAATGCAAACTAATACATTCCTTTTGGAAAGATGTTTGGAGAACACTTAGGGATATACAAATAGACCTGCCATTCGATCCTACAGTTCCTCTACTAGGTATATATCCACAAGACCAAAAATCACTTTATAACAAAGATATTTGTACCAGAATGTTTATTGCAGCCCAATTCATAATTGCTAAGTCATGGAAGAAGGCCAAGAGCCCATCAACCCACAAATGGATTAATAAATTGTGGTATATGTATACCATGGAATATTATGCAGCCTTAAAGAAAGATGGAGACTTTACCTCTTTCATGTTTACATGGATGAAGCTGGAACATATTCTTCTTAGCAAAGTATCTCAAGAATGGAAGAAAAAGTATCCAATGTACTCAGCCCTACTATAAAACCAATGTATAGCTTTATATGAAAGCTATAACCCAATTATAACCTAAGAAGAAGGAGAAAGGGGAGAAGGAGGGGAGGGGAGGAGGGGGGGAAGATGGGTGGAGGGAGAGTAATTGGTGGGATCACACATTCAGTGCATCTTACAAGGGTAATGCGAAATTAACTAAGTGTAGAATATACCGTGTTTCCCCGAAAATAAGACCTACCCCCAAAATAAGCCCTAGCAGGTTTTCTATGCATTTGTTAAATACAAGCCCTACCCCGATAATAAGACCTAGTGATGGTCATGGCTATGCAGAATATCTACATAGCCATGCCATGCATTTCGGTGCAGAGAGGAAGATATCCCCTGAAAATAAGCCCTAGTGTGTCTTCTTGAGAAAAAATAAATATGAGACAGTGTCTTCTTTTCGGGGAAACACGGTAAATGTCTTAGCACAATAACTAAGAAAATGCCATGAAGGCTATATTAACCAATTTGATGAAAATATTTCAAATTGTATATAAAACCAGCACATTTTACCCCATGATTGCATTAATGTACATAGCAATGATTTAATTTTAAAAAATCCAAGGCTATTTCACATTTCTAAAAGAATAGGCTATTTCTCATTCTCTAAGACCTTAAAATAGAAGTGAAAGTTCACAGTTAAGGGTACATGTCCCTCCACTGATGCTGCACTTTGTAGGAAATCCATCCTTAGGAGAATGAAAGGTCACTGCTCTCCTGATTTGTCAGCCAGCTTTGTTAACATCTGTCATGCTTCCTTTCATGTGCAGCCACTCCTACAGAGGCTTCTGGTATTTGGAAACTGCTAAGTCTATCTGTGCCTGAGGCTGTTTAGTCACATGTATATCCACTGGGATGATATCATTGTGCATCTAAGTAAAGTTAACTATTAAATTGTTGGGATGAAAGGTCAGAAGATCTGCCTTTAGTTGAAAGAGCAGAACATCAGAATGGGAGATAACACATTGCTACTCCCCTTCCACCTTCTTCAGGATAAAGAGTAGTGAAGGAATAGCACAGTCTTAGAAGAATCTTCATTCCGGAAGTGCTTCAGGAATCATGCTGGAGAAATTCTGCAACTCTACATTTTGGGTGAGAACCAACATGTATCCTCACTATTGACTCTTTTCAGACTTAGAACAGGTGGTAGATTAGCTTAGAGTGGTCTTCAACAAGAACAAGAGGCTGGGTGCAGTGGCTCACACCTGTAATCCTAGCATTCTGGGAGGCTGAGGCAGGTGTATTGCCTGAGCTCACAGGTTCCAAACCAGTCTGAGCCAGAGTGAGACCCCTGTCTCTAAAAATAGCCAGGCATTGTGGCAGGTGCCTGTAGTCCTAGCTACTCGGGAGGCTGAGGCAAAAGAATCTCTTGAGCCCAAGAGTTTGAGTTTGCTGTGAGCTATGAAGCCAGGGCACTCTACCAAGGGTGAGAAAATGAGGCTCTGTCTCCCCTCCCCCCACCAAAAAAACAAGAAAAGTTAGATGTGCAGTTGGTCTAAGGCTCAGGCTTTTTAGAAATGGCGATTCATAGTGTCTCTGGGAAATACAATATCTGGGGGAAATGTAACGTAATTTATTCTCTAATATGTGTCTATTGTATCTCCAACTCTTTTCTTGGACTAGATACAAAATTTCTCTTTCACTAAAGAAAAATAGGGGAAAATCTTTCAATTTCATCAGTGTTAGGAAGGGGAATTGTATGGTTTGTGGGTAGGAGTAAGAGTAGGTTCATGATTGCATCTTGTTGAAATGATAATGATGTGTTCTAGAAGAACTGGCAACTAATGACATGGACTAGAAGTTGAGGCCAGGGACACAAATTTGGGCATTATGAGCACTGAAATAATTTTTGAACCAGTAGAGTTAGGCAATACTGTTTTTAGAGGAAAATGAAAGGAAGAGGCACAGCTGAGAGGGAGAACAAGAATAGTATAATATTCTGTATTCAAAGACAGCAGAGAATTTCAAGAAAGAGGGCAGTTGACAGTATCAAATGATTGAAAGGAATAGAAAACAAGAAAGGACTTTGGGTTTTGTGATCTTAATGTAAATGTGTCCTCTGCAAACTTCTACCATGAGCATCAGAATCACAGTGGGTAATTAACATAAGGTAAGTAAGTATTTTAGGTGATTCTTTTGAATTCTAAAGTTTTATAATTTTATGTAGAGCTGAAAGGAACAGGAATGACAGAGCAGAGCACATGGGCAGCATCCATTTGCTAGAGATACCCTGGGCCCTTAAGGCTGGGCAGGCATGTGTTCTACAGGAACATAAGGCTTACTAGCCCCCAGCATCAACTTTTATCTTTTTTGTGAGACAGAGTCTCACTTTATTGCCCTCAGTAGAGTGCTGTGACATCACAGCTCACAGCAACCTTCAACTCCTGGGCTTAGGTGATTCTCTTGCCTCAGCCTCTGAGTAGCTGGGACTACAGGCACCCACCACAATGCCCAGCTATTTTTTTGTTGCAGTTTGACTGGGGCCAGGTTTGAACCTGCCACCCTTAGAATATGGGGCTGGCGCCCTACTCACTGAGCCACAGGTGCTGCCCTTTTTTTTTTTTGAGACACAATCTCACTCTGTTGCCTTGGATAGAGTGTCCTGGCATCACAGCAAACTGCAACCTCAAACTCTTGAGCTCAAGCAATCCTCTTGCCTCAGCCTCCCCAGTACCCGGGTCTACACAAGTGCACCACCATGCCCAGCTACTTTTTCTATTTTTAATAGTATTTTTAGTCTTATTCTTGCGCAGGCTGGTCTCAAACTCCTGAACTCAGGCAGTCCATTGGTTTAGCCTCCCAGAGTGCTAGGATTATAGGCGTGAGCCACCATGCCCAGCCTAGCCTCGAGCATCTTCAGAGGCCACTTCTTGGGAATTTTGTCTAAGATTATCTGGTGAATTATCTTGGTCAGGGCATCTCAAACATTTTTTTAAAGAGTTGCGTGAATGGTCAAATAAAACAGTTTTAAAATATTTATAAAAAGAAAAATCTACCCTTGTGTGACTAAAATATAAGAACTGGCGTCTCTTCACACACAACCAAGACACTTTCATTTATTGCAGAATGCAATGACTGACACAGAGCTTGTTGGAGGAAGTCTTCTGCCCAACAGTGCTGTGTTGCTGCTTTGCTGAGATTGGCTAGGCCTTCCTAGTTCTGGGCTTCCCTAGAAGCTCTCTGGGCCAGAGAAAGTTAAAAGTCTCAGTATGACTAAGCATTTTATCTTTCTTTGGTGCCTACAGATTTGAACATCTGCCAGGGAGTTCAATTAGTGATAAAAACTAGGATAAAAACAACTTGTTATATCCCAGTGAACTGTTCTCCCCTTTGGACTGAGGAATAGTCCTTCTTCCTGCAAGTTGGCAAATGCAGTGGTGAGGTTTCCTTAGAATAGTTAGTACAGAAATTTACTTAGAACATAGGAAGACAGGTGTTTAGATGTTGGGTTGGCCAGAAAAGGCACTAAGTGTCATTAAATGGTGAACTGTACCAACGGGAATGAACAGAGAAATACAGATAGTTGAAAGGGTATGGCTATGGAGTTGAGTCAAAATCGTTTGGAAGCAATGGAGTGTACTGAGGGACAGTCTTCTGTGTTCAAAAAATGCATGTATCCAACAATCTTTCCTTTTTGGTCCCCAGAATTCCTCGCTCCTGGATAGCCCGAAGGCAGACCTGCCACTTTGTTTTGAGCAAACTGTTCTGGTGTGGATCCCTTTGGGCTTCCTTTGGCTCCTGGCCCCTTGGCAGCTCCTCCATGTGTACAGATCCCGGACACAGAGATCAGCTGTAACCAAACTCTACCTTGCTCAGCAGGTATTCCTTGGTGCACAGTAGAGACATTTTCTTGGTGGTTAGTGTCCTCTTCCCTATCTTTAACCAGCTTTCTCAGTGCTGCTGTCAAAGGTAGAGCCATGCTCTAAGGGCCCTTCTCTTCACTAACCCTAAGCTCACTGGCCCTTTTATGGTATTTCTTAATCAAAGTAGCTTTGTTTTTGCATAAAAATAGTGACTTTTAATTCTTATGACTATTGGGTTCCCTGAACACAACAAATAGTAAGAAATTGATCAAATTGTTATTATCTTTTGAGTATTTGAGAATTTAACACTAGATCACTGTCTTTAAGCTGTTCTAATAAATCAGGAGATAATTCAATTGGCACTCACTTAGGGATAAAAATGAACTACCATATATGATGTATCTTCTGTACCACTGAGGCAATCCAACCATCACTTGCCTTCCAAAACTTAGATCTGAAATAGGGTTTGCACTTTCCCAGAGTATTCCATGAGTCAGGATGGTAACCCACAGTGCAGGGAGGAAGGGTGAGTATCCACAGTGACAAGCCTGAGTAGGGAAATAATGAAAAGGATAAGGGCAGTGCAGAAGAGGCTCAGGAAGGGCCAGGAGGGGAGTAGCCCCCAGCCAGCTACATTAACTCACTCAGGGAGGGTGATTAAGCTTGTAGATCTACCATCTGCTTCCTTTCACTAGATTTTTTTTTTGTCTGTCCTGATCTTTAAATTGGTTACTGGAAAGGCAAATTAAATTCCATTGTTCTATTAGCATATATAATAATGACTCCAGGGTACCTAGAATCCAAAAAGGGAGAAAAGAGGTTGGTCAAAGAAAGTAGACTTCATTTTGATATTCTGAGGTGGGAGCTTGGAGTGGGTTTTGTCAGACTCTGAATAGCTCAGGGCAGAGTCATTGTCTCCCTTGTTGACCTAAGTCCCCACCACAGGACTTACCATGGATCAAGTGCTTGCTCAGGTTGAATTCAACATTTGTTGAATGTTGATGTTAAAAGCATTCTAGGAATAGGGGCTAAATAAGAGTGTGTTAGAGCCAGGGAGTTCAAGACCAGCCCAGGCAACATAGCAGAGACCCACTTGTAAAAACAAAGTGTGGCTCAAGCCTGTAATCCTAGCACTCTGGGAGGTTGAGGCAGCAGGCTCTTTTGAGCTTAGGAGTTCAAGACCAGCCTGAGCAAGAGTGGAACCCAGTCTCTACTAAAAATAGAAAAAATTGGCTCGGGGCCCATAGCACAGTGGTTAAAGCACCAGCCACTACATCAAGGGTTGTGGGTTTGAACCTGGCCTGGGCCAGCCAAAAATAGAAAAATTAGCTGTGTGTTGTGGTGGGCACCCAGCTAGTCTAGAGGCTGAGGCAAGAGGATCATTGGAACCCAGGAATTTGAGGTTGCTATGAGCTAGACTGATGCCATAGCACTCTAGCTTGGGCAACAGAGTGAGACTGTCTCAAAACAACAACAATAAAAAAAAAAACCAAATATGTTAGACTCTGAACATTGAACAACATGATCAGTACACTTGAAAATGAGTCAGAGCTTGAGGTTAGAATTGATCTAGAGGCGGGTTGGCATTTCTAAGAAGAGGCTGGGTAATGAGCAAACCACTGTTCCATCCAAATACAGGCAGTACCAAGTTATAAACATCTGACAGACATACATTTTGTGCTTACAAACAGAGGCTATTACAGGTGATAGATAAAGGTACCTATTCCCACTTACATACAAATTCAACATAAGGACAACCAACAGAATCTATCTGGTTTGTAACCCAGGAACTGCCTAAATAGGCTATTGGGTAATTTTAAAAAATACTTTATTAAGATGTAATTCATACAATTCTCCCATTTAAATACAATTCAGGTTTTCTTTTAGTATAGTCACAGATAGATGTAACCTATCACCATAGTCAATTTTAAACATTTTTAATCTTTCTAAAAGAAATTCTTTAACCTCTTGTCTCCTCAACTCCTCTAGCCCTATACAACCACTAATGTCCATCCTGTCTCTGTGAGTTCTCTATTCTACACGTTTCATATGAACAGAGTCACACAGCATGTGTTTGTTCTTGATTGGCTTCTTCTACTTGGCATATTTTCAAGGTTTATCTATGTTGTAACATGTGTCAGTACCTCATTTCTTTTTATGGCTGAACATTATTATTATTATTCCATTGTGGCTGAATATGCCACATTGTATTTAACATTTTTAAACCCAATCTCATTGAGAAAAATAAAAGCTATGTATTATCTTTTTCTTTTTCTGTATTATCTTCTTTTTATTTTTCCTAATAATCTATGTACCTTTACTCACATTCTCTGGAGTTCTACTTATATAGTATTTCATTTTTTTTCCTAGGCCCAGTAAGACCCTCTGACTCCTTTATTGTTACTATTATTATGTTTGTTTTTTGAGACAATTTCACTTTTTCACCTTTGGTACAGTATTGTGGCGTCATAGCTCACAGCAACCTCAAACTCTTAGCCTCAGGAGATCCTCTTGCCTCAGCCTCCCAAGTAGCTGGGACTATATGCACCCACCATAATGCCCAGCTAGTTTTATAGATGGGGTCTCCAGCTTGTTCAAACTCCTGGGCTCAAGCAATCTGCCTGCCCTGGCCTCCCAGAGTGCTAGGATTGCAGGCATGAGCCACCACGCCTGATCTTATTATGTATTAGTATCATTAGTAGTAGTAGTAGAATACAGGGGAAAGAATCCTAATGACTCTCATAGAAATGTTAGCAATCTGTTGCTACAGTTGCTAGAAGCTTTTGAACATTTTTCTTTCAATTTAGCAGCTCTCTGACAGTATGAAAAAATTGCTTGAATAAGCTTTTTACATTGGTTAGAAAGAGAGAAAAAGACAGGACACTGGGCACAGTGGTGTGTGCCAGCTACTTCAGAGCCTGAGGAAGGAGGATCACTTGAGGCCAGGAGTTCAGGACCTGGGCAACATAGCAAGACCCTGTCCCTTCAAAACTAAACAAAACAGGAAAAGAAAAATTAACTAAAATTGAAACCTCCGAATTCATTTAAGACTTTCATTCTTTTCAAGGATGTGACTTAATTCTTTTTTAGTTTTGCAAATGTCTGGAGTTCTGATTCTTAGAAAGTTGCAGAAGTTGTTCCCCAGTGCCAGCAGTCACATACCTGCTCTCCAGGATGGTGACTGAGCCACAAAAAGAAGAAAGTAAGAAAGACAGTGGGGCTGGCTGGATGGCCTCCCACAAAGGCCTTCCTGCAGTCTAGTTTTCCAACTTCTTTAGCAACCTAGCCAGGGGTCCTCAAACTTTTAAAACAGGGGGCCAGTTCACTATCCCTTGGACCGTTGAAGGGCTGGACTGCAGGCCTGGGACAAGTCGGCTGCTAAGCAGGACAGGCAGCGGTGGCAAAAACATCCAAAGGGCTGCATGTGGCCCGCGGGCTATAGTTTGAGGACGCCTGACCTAGACTCTGTAGCTCTGCACCTGTGGCTCAAGCACCTAAGGCGCCAGCCACATACACCTGAGCTGGCATGTTCAAATCCAGCCCGGGCCTGCCAAACAACAATGATGGCTGCAACCAAAAAAAAAAAAAAAAAAAATAGCCAGATGTTGTGGCAGGCAGCTGTAGTCCCAGCTACTTGGGAGGTGGAGACAGGAGAATTGCGTGAGCCCAGGAGTTGGAGGTTGCTGTGAGCTGTTAGCCACAGCACTCTACCCAGAGCGACAGCTTGAGGCTCTGTCTCAAGAAAAAAAAACAAAAAACTAGACTCTGATGTTGGAACTCAGAAAATGGCACCCAAATACACTGTGCTTTGGCACAGTGAGTGCTTGGAACTAAAAGAGATTAAAAGGCCTCAGAAATAGCCTTGAAACCAGGGTCTCTCTAACCTTCTCCTGCATATTGTCCCTCTCTCCCAAAGTGTCCCATTTGTAATTTTTTTTTTTACATTTTTGTAAATCTCTTTAATTTTTTTTTATTGTTCAGAATTTATTGAGGGTACGAAGAATTAGGTTACATTGATTGCATTTGTTAGATAAAGTCCCTCATACAATGGTATCCCACCACCACCCCATTTGTAATTTATATTTTACTTTTTTGCCTTCTTCTCTAAGGCCCCTATTTTAAATTATTCTGATGATTACCTTCATATCCACAAATAATGTGTTTATACCTGTATTTCTTAATCTATCAACTTCAAAAAGGTCTATTTCTGCCCCTGTGCGTGATAAAGATTTAGCCCATTGACAAGGAATTTACCTTCCTTTTCTTTTCCCCCATCTTTTTCTCAGTCTTTTTATTATATATGATTATTTTCAGTTCTTAATCTATCCATTACCTTTATACCTAAAAATAATCTGCTATCAATTTTACATTTTACATGTTGATGCCGCCAGATTTCTTGGATCCTTTCTATTGGAGAATAGCCTCAAATAAAATTTTCAGAAAGAGTGGCAATAAATAGAATGTCTAAGTCCCTGCTTTCTGAAAATGTTCGTCTGCATGTGGAATGCTAGGTTCTCTGGCAGGACTGCAGAGATTGCTCTCTGTAGTTACTGAACAAATGCTCCAGCCTCAGGTACACCAGTGTTGACTGTGCCAGGTCTGGTTGCTCCACCCTTTAAGGTTTCCAGATGTGTTCATCTGGTGAACATCCCTGGTGGTAGGAAGAGTCCTGGGCATTCGGTAGTGCTGAGACCTTTGAGGCATGTGGTTGCTATTCTTTGCTCGGCTTTCTGCCACCTCTTAGATTTTATTCTCTGGTTCTTGAACCAGGTCTTAACCTGTTTATAGCTAAGGTTCAGGATGTTAGAAAGTTCTTGCATCTGCTGGAGGCTAGGGTATTCCTGTCTTTGAAATCTATCACTGAGCACACACAGCTGAGTGAGAGAGAACATGGTTCTGATCTGCTTTTGACCTGGACTTTCTCCTTCACCACACTCTTCTCTGCAGAAGTGGGTAGTTTTACTTTGTGACTGGCAGAAGAGTCAGGGTTGTCCTGAATAAGTAGATCCATGGAGGAAGGAAAAGAAGAGATAGTCTCTGTGAGGGGGATCTCAGCAGAAGACATTTGCAAGAGTGGATAATTTTCTTCAGGCCTACAGATCATAGGCATTGGTGGGAAGTCCCTAGAATCAAGAGCACTGGAGCAAGGCAGGCTTTGAGGATAAGCTGGATCCACACTCTTATTATTGAGAAGAAGGGGGAAAAAATAAAGAGTTAAACTGTACAAAAAGCTAAGGCTTTAAGGCTTAAGTATCTAGGTGGAAGATCTTAGAGAATATGATTTTTAAATGTAAAGGCATCAAAAAGCGGGGATGAAGTGAGTCCCCTCCTCTGTAACAGGAGGCAACCCGCTCAGTCCAGCAAGAGGTGTGCTTCTTTTTAAAATAATGCTGTTATTTGGATGTACCATAACTTATGTGTCTTACATGAGAAGAATATAGGTGGTTTCTAATCTTTTGCTGTCATAAGAAGTGCTGCAATAAATAGCTTTGTCCATAGAAGTGTGTCTGCAGGATAAATTCCTAGAAATGAAATTATTGAGTTAAGGATAAATGAACATTGAGATGGTCTCTTGATCTATTGCCCCCACTACTCAAGTGCAGTGGTGTCATCACAGCTCATTGCAACTTCAAACTCCTGGGCTCAAGCAATCTTCCTGCCTTGTTCTCCTGAGTAGCTGGGACTGTAAGGCATGTGACACCATGCTCAGCTGATTTTTTTTTTTTTTAGTAGAGACTGTCTCATCGCAACTCATATTGGTCTCCAACTTCTGTCCAAGTGATCCTCACGCCTCGGTCCCTTAGAGTGTTGGGATTACAGGCTTGAACCACTGTGCCTGGCCCCAAATTTTTATAGATAGTATAAACTGTCCTCCATACAGATTTTCCCTCAGTCTCACAAAACTTTTATTATCAACCTTTTTGATGTTTGCTAATTGGTTAGGTAAAAATGGTGTATCCAATTGTACTCTCTTATACTACTGAGGCTAAGCATAATACTTACATATTTAACAGCCATTTGTGGGTTTATTTCCTTTAAATTATCCATTTATATGTTCATCTTATGCATGGAGGTGTTAGGGTTTGTAGTTGTGTGTTTGTCTGAGACAGGGTCTTGTTCTATTGCCCATGCTACAGTGTTGTGGTATAAATCATAGCTCACTACAGCATCAAACTTGTGGGCTCAAGTGATCCTCTCACCTCAGCCTCCCAAAGAGCTGGGACTACAGGTGTCAGTCACCATGCCTGACTAAGTTTTTTATTTTTTGTAGAGACTAAGTCTGACTGTTGCTGAAGCTGGTCTCAAACTCTTGGCCTTAAGCAATCCTCCCACTTCAACCTCCCAAAGTGCTATGATTACAGATTTGATTCACTACACTCAGCTAGACTTTTTAATTCCTTTGTAGAAGTTCTTTCTACAGTTCATTGGTCTTTTCTGATATGAAATGCTCAGTATGTATATATATATATATTTATTTATTTATTTATTTTGTAGTTTTTGGCCTGGGCCAGGTTTGAACCCACCATCTCTAGTGTATGCGGCCGGTGCCCTACTCCTTTGAGCTGCAGGTGCCTCACCTCATTTTTATGATTAGAAATATTTATGTAATATGAGGTGGCACCTGTGGCTCAAAGGAGTAAGGCGCCAGCCCCATATGCCGGAGGTGGTAGGTTCAAACCCAGCCCTGGCCAAAAACTGCAATAAATAAATAAATGTCTGGCTCTGTGCCAAAAATTAAAAAAATATATATTTATGTAATATATGTAAACCTGTGGCAAGGCCCCTTCCTTTTCCTTGCCCTGGGAAGTAATCTGCTGGTTAATATTCTGTAGTCATCCTCCATGGTGGGTATTTTGGCTCCAAATTGCTCTATTTTACCTCCCAATTTACGTACAGTCAAACATAATTGTACCTCTTCTAAAGCTATTTTTTTTTAGAAAGCCTTGTAGTCTCTTGTGAGGAGAGCACCATACAGTGTATCATATACTTGAGAAAATGTCTTCCTGTCTTTGACTCTACTCCTTGCTAAATAGCAGCTAGTCCTATAGTTAAAGGTGGCTTCATCTCCTTTTTATAAAGGTGTTTTCATTACAAAGTGCTCAGTATCTCTGCCTGAACCATTCTAGATGAATGAGACTTAAGAGAATGAGTGGGGGCTCACCGCCCGTAGCACAGTGGTTATGGCGCCGGCCACATGCACCAAGACTGGTGGGTCCCGGCTCGGGCCAGCTAAACAGCAATGACAACTGCAACAACAACAAAAAATAGCTGGGCCTTGTGGTGGGTGCCTATAGTCCTAGCTACTTGGGAGGTTGAGGCAAGAGAATCTCTTGAGCCTAGGAGTTTGAGGTTGCTGTGAGCTGTGATGCCATAGCACTTTACCCAGGGGGACATAGTGAGACTCTGTCCCAAAAAACAAAAAAGCAAAAAAACAAAAAAAAAGAGAGAGAGAGAGAGAAAATGAGTGGGGATAGATGGATGGGAACAAAAATGGGTGAGGAGTGACGGTACTAGATCAAGATCTTCATTCTTGGGGCTAAGACACTGGTGTACCTTCTCAATGACAGCAGTAATTTTCCCTCCTGATTGGTGGGGGGTGGAACGAGCCTTTACAACAGTACAAGGTGTATCATATCTTATGAGCTCATAGGAGAAATATTGATTGGTGTTATATGGGTCAAGACTGGGACAAATGGCAAAGAAAGGGATATTTAAGGACATATTAACTTTGTACTGCTGTGTGACAAATTACTCCCCAGCTTAAACAAGAAACATTTTTTTTGAGACAGAGTCTCATTAGGTCACCCTCAGTAGAGTGCTGTAGCATCACAGCTCACAGCAACCTCAAACTCTTGGGCTTAAGCAATTCTCTTGCCTCAGCCTCCCAAGTAGCTGGGATTTTTTTGTTGTAGTTGTCATTGTCGTTTGGCAGGCCTGGGCTAGGTTTGAATCCGCCAGCTCTGGTATATGTGGCTGGCACCCTAGCCACTGAGCTACATGTGCCAAGCCAAGAACAAATTTTTTAAATCTCACAGTTTCTGTGGGAACAGTTTACCTGGATTCTGCTTCGGGATCTCTCAGGAGGTTGCTGTTAATATGCGGCTAGGGCTACAAGTCATCTGAGAGTTTCATTGGGGCCAAAGGATCTGCTTCTAAGATGACTCTGTCACAGGGCCTCAGGTCTCAGTACCTTATCAAGTGTACCTCTCCCTAAAGCAATGGGAGTGTCCTTATGACAGGGCTGGAAGCATTCCTTAGAGTGAGTGATCTGAGAAACAGAACAAAGAAAAATAATCCACATTGTTTTTATGACCTAGACTTGGAAGTTATACATTGTCCTTTCTGTCAAGTTCTGTTCATTAGAAGTGAGTCACTAAGTCCAGTCCACAAGGAATGGGGAACCTAAGCTCTACTTTTTGCAGGGAGGATTATCAAAAAAATTGTGAGTATATCTTAAAACATCACACTCAGCATTCCTCAAAAACCATTAACATGGCATATTTTGAATACCGTTCCCTTGCCTGAACTATAATATATCCATTCACTCCAGAAATATTTATCAAATGTGTTATCTGAATCACTAGATACCAGTTTGAGGTTTTCTTGTTTTGTTTGAGACGGAGTCTCACCTGTTGCCATGACTAGAGTGCTGTGGTGTCAGCCTAGGTCACAACAACTGTACACTCCTGGTCTCAAGGGATCCTCCTGCTTTTAGCCTCCCCAGTAGCTGGGACTGCAGGTGCTTATGACCATACCCAGCTAATTTTTTCTATTTTTAGTGGAGGCAAGATCTCACTTTTGCTCAGTCTGGTCTCAAACTCCTGGCGGCAAGCAATCCTCCCAGCTCAGCCTCCCAGAGTGCTAGGATTACAGGCCTGAGGCACTGTGGTTGCTTCAGACACTAGTTTTCTTATCCATTATTGGAAACCATTTTGGTCTAACAGACTTGTGTAGAAAGATATTCTCCCAGCTCGGCACCTATAGCTCAACCGGCTAAGGCGCCAGCCACGTACACCTAAGGTGGCAGGTTCGAATCCCCAGCCTGGACCCGCCAAACAACAATGATGGCTGCAACCAAAAAATAGCCGGGTGTTGTGGCGGGCGCCTGTGGTCCCAGCTACTTGGGAGGCGGAGGCAGGAGACTCGCTTGAGCCCAGGAGTTGGAGATTGCTGTGAGCTGTAATGCCATGGCACTCGACCCAGGGGGACAGCTTGAGGCTCTGTCTCAAAAAAAAAAAAAAAAAAAAAAAAAAAAAGAAAGATATTCTCCTAACAGTGGTCTTTTTCTCTTCTCAGGTGTTCGTTGGTTTTCTTCTTATTCTAGCTGCCATAGAACTAGCCCTTGTACTCACAGAAGACTCTGGAGGAGGTACAGTCCCTGCTGTTAGATATACCAACCCAAGCCTCTACCTAGGCACATGGGTAAGGCCTACCACCACTTCTACACTGTTTATCTTCTCTCTACCCATAGACATCAAGCTGAAATTTACTCTTTGGGGATGAAATTAAGTCCAATTTCACCTATCTTTTTTCACAGGACTTATAGGGAGGGAACACTTGGTTATAATGGGGTGAAACAAATTTTAGTTTTTAATTTTCTTTTGAACACTAACTTATGGAGTATTCTCCTTGGGTTAAGTATTAGCTTTTAATATATGTTTTATGCCCTCATATCTTGTAATCTAAGGAGCACAGATGAAATCTAAATTTATTGATGTTGGCTCAGCACCTGTAGCGCAGTGGTTATAGAGCCAGCCACACACACTGAGGGTGGTGGGTTTGAACCCGGCCCAGGCCAGCTAAACAATAATGATAACTGCAACCAAAAAAATAGCCAGGCATTGTGGCAGGTGCTTGTTGTCCCAGCTACTTGGGAGGCTGAGGCAAGAGAATCTCTTGAGCCCACGAGTTGAAGGTTACTGTGAGCTGTAATGCCATGGCACTCTACCCAGGGTGACATAGTGAGGCTCTGTCTCAAATAAATAAATAAATAAATTTATTGATGTAAAAGACTTACAAGTGCTATAAATACTATTTTTAAAGTGATTAACTGGTGACTAGTCAAAGAATCACTGAGCCTAGCATTGTTTGTTTAAACTTGAAATCAAAACTAAAATTTGAAATTTTCCTGCAGGCATGTTTTTTTGGTGGGGGGATTGTATAGTGTTTAGAGAACAACTGAATTACTTGTTATTATTTTAAAAGAGGAATATGATACATAGTTATTTGAATTTCCAAACTTTATTGAAAAATCAGAATATCTTGCAACTGTGGCCCTACGATCTCACTGGGCAATGTCAGCTGGGCCTGAGTAGCAGTCACCCCATTTAGACCAAGTTTAGCTGGCCTGGGCCGGGTTTGAACCCACCACCCTCAGTGTGTGTGGCTGGCTCTATCGTCCCTCTGTCCCCTTCCCCTGCCTTCACTCAATGACATGATCTGCTTAGCCTCTGTGAGCATTCTTTTTTTTGCCACCACTATTGTAGAATCAAGACAGGTCTAAGGCCTGGATGGCAATGCTGTAGTGGAGCAGGTGCACACAGGGCTGATTGTGTATATCTCTCTCGACCCTGCATTTCCTATCATCATGTTGGAGCTCGAAGTCCACCACAGTGGGAGTATTTGCACCATGAAAACTGGAAAATTCTACAAATCATGGCTCCACCGCCCCAGAATGCTTATTTACTAGCACAGCACTAGGTCTAAGAAATCAACATTTAATTTATTATATCTAAGTGAACTAGTACAAGGCAAGGTTTGTTTGTATTTTAATTAATTGCTTAGTCTGATATTAGAAAATCAAGGTACAGACACCTTTCACCTGATTTACCAGAACTTGCCTTTCCGACCTTCCTACTGTAGTGCCTGAAATTAATTTCTGTGGATTTTGAAAACATTTTTATAGCTCCCTTCAAAGTAATTCCACTAAAATGCAGATAGTGACCTTCTGCTTTCTTGGCTAACTTCCCACTCAAGTATGGTGAACAGAGACGAGGGCCTAGAAGAGAAAGTTGGATGGCACAGGGAGGAATGCACAGTTGGGCACTTGTGTGCACCCCCTCTGGCCAGGATGCCTACAGCAGTCTCTTCCCTCAGGCCCCCTTTCTTCCCATACTCTCTGATATCCTTCTCCTCTTGGCTAATGACAATATTCTTCAGAACTCTGTGTGAATTTCTCTTTAGCTCCTGGTTTTGCTGATCCAACACAGCAGACAATGGTGTGTGCAGAAAAACTCTTGGTTCCTGTCCATATTCTGGATTCTTTCAATTCTCTGCAGCACTTTCCAATTTCAGACTCTGATCCGGACACTCTTAAAGGTAAGGAGAAAAGAGTGGGTGACATAAGAAGGGGCTGCTGGGCAACTCTGGCATCAGGTAAGTTAAGCTCCAGGATGCAACTTGATCAGAGTAATTTGATAATAGGCTTTTATCATAAATGTTGATATGTATATATGGGCTATTTAAACATAATTTGGACAAAAACCTTGTTTTCTCTGTTTTTTTTCCCCCATAGGGTGATGATTCTAACCTGGCCTACTCCTGCCTGTTCTTCATTTCCTATGGATTCCAGATCCTGATCCTAATCTTTTCAGCATTTTCAGAAAAAAATAACTCATCAAATGTGAGATTCTAAATATGCTTATCTCATACATTACTTGGATGATATTTTAACAAACATAGCTTTGAGGCGTCTAGGTCTCCTGGAAGTCCCATGAGCCCAGAATAACATAGTACAGGCCATTTTGTGACATAAGGAAACAGCCAATGAGGAGATTATTAAATATTGGCTTTTACTCTTACCAAGCAATCTTCAGCATAGGCAATTATTAATAATCCATACATCTATGCCAGAAAATCTGATTATCAATTTTGCTAGTGACTTTAGGGTATACAAATAAATGTATGCTGACCTACTGAGGGCAGCCTCATATCTAGTTTCTAGCACATTGTACCTTTAGAAAAATAAGTTTCTGATTTTAGAGTCCTTTTGAGTTCCTGTCTCCAATTGATATACTTAAATTTTTCCTGTCTTTCAGAATCCACTGACCACCGCTTCATTTCTGAGTCGCATTACCTTTAGTTGGTATGACAGGTACGAAAGGCCCAGGGTATGGGTTGTCTGCGTCCCTATGTTCTCATTCTTCCAGAAATGACAGAAATCTTAATCTTTAAAAGTGCCTCCTGTGGCTCCTTAGAGTGAGAGCATATTAATTCAGCCCCTTCACTAGGCAGACTAGATGCTAAGGAGAACACGAAGGGGGATTTCCTTTCCTCCTGATTCCCCAGAAGAGCAAGGGGGCAGCAGGACAGGAAAGGGGGTCTTGGAGGCGGGCACTCAGGTGCAGATTCTGAGGGTAAAGGATAAAGTAACCGGCCTGAGCTGCCAGAAGACCTGAAGCAGGCACCCTTGGCCTTCTCAGTTATATGAACCTGTTTGGCAGTCTGATGAAGACCATAAAACCCTTCTCAGAGAATGTTAATCAAATGTGTAAAATAAAAGAAATTTTGTTAAAATAAAAGCAAATATATGAAAATATAGTTACAGAAATATATTTAACAGGCGGCGCGTGTGGCTCAAAGGAGTAGGGCGCCGGCCCCATATGCCAGTGGTGGCAGATTCAAACCCAGCCCCGGCCAGAAACTGCAAACAAAACAAAACAAAACAAAAACCCAGAAATATATTCAAAACATTAGCTTGGTGTGGTGGTGTGTGCCTGTAGCCCCAGTTATCTGTGAGGCTGAAATAGGAAGATCAATTGAACCCAGGAGTTTGAGGCTGCAGTGAGCTATGATCATGTCGCTGCACTTTAGCTTGGACAACAGAGTGAGACCCTCTCCAAAAAAAAAAAAAAAATATATATATATATATATATAAAACATATATTTATAATATATAAAATATATATTTTTATATATACTTACTATATATGTATTGAGTTGACAGAGTCAACTCAATATATTGACTGTCTCAAAAAAATATATATATATAGAGTGTCTCAAAAAATATATATATATTGAGTTGACTCAATTATATATTTATAATACATAAATATATATATATATATTTTTTTTTTTTGAGACAGAGTCTCACTTTGTCACCTTTGGTAGAGTGCCTTGGCGTCTTAGCTCACAGCAACTTCAAACTCTTGGGTTCAAGTGATCCTCTTGCTTCAGCCTCCCAAATAGCTCTCAAGAAGATCCAGGAGATACAGGTGCCCACCACAACACCCAGCTATTTTTAGAGACAAGGTCTCACTCCGACTCAGGCTGGTCTCAACTCGTGAGCTGAGGCAATCCACTCACCTTGGCCTCCTATAGTGCTAGGATTACAGGAGTGAGCCACCATGCCTAGCCTTTTTTAAAATATATATATTTTTTTTAAAAAGACAAATTTGTTACATAGTAATACATTTGTTAATACTTCTTCATTAATGTATATATGATGACAAAATCTAGTGATGATGCTAATTATGACCATGATTTCAAAATAGTGATGAACATAGTGAGCCATGAAAACCTCTGAGATTTCTAAAGGCTGGATTAGAACAGAATAGAAACTATTGCAAATAAAGATAAAACTTATTTTCCATCCACATTGTCAAACCCCAGTTTGAAGATCCCTGATCTAGATAATCTGGAGGCAGCCATGGGATCTGCTGCATTTCCTAAGGGCATCCCAGAGGGCCCTCAAGGAGATACCAGAGTGGCAGAGGCAGCCAGCATTTGAGGAGGAAGGAGTAGGGCAGGAGATGCTCTTCTGGCTCTTAGTTCAGCAGTACCCCTTCCCCTTCTCTTGTCTTTGAACACATTATGTGACCCTCCCCCCCATTCCTTTTTTCTTCTCTCCCTACTTCTCTGTCAAGTTCAAAGATCAGAGAATGGGAGTGGTGGAGCAAGAGAGAAGTCCCATTCTTCTGTCCCTCTAGACCAGAACCAGGAGGCAAGTTGTGATAGCTGTGGCCTGGATGGTCTCAGACTGTGGGTCACTCTTGTTCCAGAATTGTTTTGAAGGGTTACAAGCATCCTCTGACACTCAAAGATGTCTGGGATGTTAATGAAGAGATGAAAACCAGGACACTCTTGAGCAAGTTTGAACTGTGCATGATGAGAGAGCTGCGGAAAGCCAGACGGGCATTCCAGAGACGACAGCAGAAGAACTCCCAGTGGAGCTCAGGAGCCAGGCTGCACAGCTTGAACAAGAACCAGAGCCAAAGCCAAAATGTCCTCGTCCTGGTAACTTTCCCATGAGTGTTGGTGTGGGCATGCTGTGTGTCTCAGGCAAGAGGATGTCAGTGTTGTGATTCTGTCCTAACATTTTTACAGCACTTCATATGTGGGGACACGTTTTATAGTAATAACATTAGTAGTAGTCACAAATCTAATAATACCTCAGTGATGGGTACATGGCGGTACAATGTACTATTCTTTCTTCTTTGAGGTATATATGAAATTTTCCATAATTAAATCATTTTTTAGAATAATACCTTAGCATTAGTAGAATTTACAACTTGATAAGAGTAAGCATGAGCAGCCAATTTCTTAATTTCTTCACTTGAAAATATTTATTGAACACAACTGTGTGTCAGTGGTTATTCTGGGCACTGAAAGAGATGCCACCTTGAGAGAGCCAGAAAATACACGGTACATCCATACATAGAAAACAAAACATGGTAGTGTATTTGGAGTGAAGTGCTACTTTAGACAGGGTAACAGGGGAGGCTCCTCAGAGGGGGTGATATTTGCATAGACTTCCAAGTGATGAGACATCTATGGGACAGTCGGAGAGAAGCATCTTGCAGCCCGAGGGATCAGGAGGGTGAGGCTAAGGGGGAGAGCACATATGGCTCATTTAGGGAACAGGAAGAAGATCCAGGACAATCCAGACAGAGGCTGAGCATGAGGTGAGATGAACCCAGGGAAGGGGACAGGGACTGAGCTGTGTAGACCCCTGTGGGTCATAATAAGGAATTTGGACTTTGTGTGAAGTCTCATGGAAATCCAGTGGAAGGTTTCAAGTGGAGAAGTAATGCGCTTGGATTTATATTTTTAAAGCTTACTTAAAGCCACATGTGGTGGCTCACACCTGTAATTCTAGCACTCTGGGAGGCTGATGGGGGTGGATTGCCTGAGCTCATGGGTTCAAGACCAGCCTGAGCCAGAGCGAGACCTTGTCTCAAAAAATAGCTGGGCATTGTGGCAGGCACCTGTAAGTCCCAGCTGCTTGGGAGGCTGAGACAAGAGAATCACTTGAGTCCAAGAGTTTGAGGTTGCTGTGAGCTATGACAGCATAGCACTCTATGGAGGATGACAAAGTGAGACTTTATCTCAAAAAAAAAAAAAATGCTTACTTGGGCTGCTGGTTGGTGAATGGATCTCTGTAGGGCAAGAGTGGAAACTGGAAGGAAGGCTGGGGCATTTGTCTAGGCAACAGAGGCTGATCGGATGGGACCTCAGTGAAGGAGCCGTGAGAGGATAGCCCTGGTAGAAAATCCTGGAAAATGAGGCTGAGAAGGTAGAATTGGGGGCATGATGAGACATGGAAGGTATATTGAGGAGATCCAAACATAGAAAAAAGAGGCTGGTGACTGAGTTGTGATGCCTCACATATTAGTTTCCTATGGTGTTGTAATAAATACCACAAACTGCATAGCTTAAAACAGCAGAATGTTATTGTCTTACAGCTTCTGATTACAGAAGTCTGAAATCAAGCCTTCAGCAGGGCCGTGCTCCCCCTGAAACCTGTGGGGAGACCCCTTCCTTGCCCTTCTCCCACCTGTGGTTGTCCCTGTAGTCCTCAGCGTTCCTTGACTTGTGGCTGCATTGTTCCCACTCTGATCTCTTGCCTCTGTCATCACACGGCCATCTGCTCTTCTTAGAAGGACCCCAGTCATGTTGGGTCAGGGCCCACCCGAATGTCCTCATCCTAATTTGATTACATGGGCAGAGACCCTATTTCCAAATAAGGGCACATTTTAAAGTACTGGGTGTTAGAACTTCAGTGTTTCAGTGTGTGGGGGGAGACACAATTTAACCCATAACATCTCACAGCAGCCACAAGCAAAAAAAGAAAAAAGAAAGGGCTTTTCACCCTCAAGATCATCCTCAGACCCACCCCCTCAGAGTTTGTCCTCTGTTTTTACATAGGATTTTACCAGTGTCGTTGCCTGGTTTTCTCATCCAAAATAGATTAAAGTGTCCCATTAGAAAGGAGGGAGAGGAATAGTAAAAGCAGCTACTAGGCAGTGAGGACAAGATGAAAGCCTGAAGATGGCAACAGAGCTCATAGGCTAGACGTGCCAGACCTGCTGGGGCTGGAACCAGACTCACCCTCCACAACTCTGTTGTTTGGTTTTGTGCTTAGGAAGATGCTCAAAAGAAAAAAAAGAAGAAGTCTGGGACCACAAAAGATGCTCCGAAGTCCTGGTTGGTCAAGGCCTTGTTCAAAAGTTTCTACATGATTCTCCTGAAAGGATTCCTGCTGAAGCTGGTGCATGACATCTTGATGTTTATGAACCCTCAGCTACTAAAGTGAGTCCCCTCGCCTTGGCTTGTCCTTTCAGGGCCTCCTCTGCCACCTACTTTTTTGCTCCTTATATATGAAGGCAGAAACTTTATTAAATTCCCCTCTCCCCTTTTTTTGAGACAGAGTCTCACTTTGTCACCCTCCATAGAGTGCTGTGGCATCACAGCTCACAATAACCTCAAACTCTTGGGTTCAAGCGATTGTCTTGCCTCAGCCTCCCAAGTAGCTGGGACTACAGGTGTCTGTCACAATGCCTAGCTATTTTTAGAGACAGGATCTCACTCTGGCTCAGTCTGGTCTCGAACCTGTGAGCTCAGGCAATCCACCTACCTCAGCCTCCCAGAGTGCTAGGATTGCAGAGTGAGCTGCCATGCCCAGCTCATTAAATTCTCATTTTTAAACATGCTCATAATTTCTTTTTTTTTTGAGACGGAGCCTCAAGCTCTCACCCTGGGTAGAATGCCATGGCATCACGCTCACAGCAACCTCCAACTCCTGGGCTCAAGCGAGTCTCCTGCCTCAGCCTCCCAAGTAGCTGGGACTACAGGCGCCCGCCACAACGCCTGGCCATTTTTTGGTTGCAGCCATCATTGTTGTTTGGCGGGCCCGGGCTGGGGATTCAAACCCGCCACCTTAGGTGTATGTGGCTGGCGCCTTAGCCGCTTGAGCCAGAGGCGCCGAGCCAACATGCTCATAATTTCCTTGCACTTATGGCATTGAATTCATGAAGAGCATAGGCAGTTTTCAAGATCTAAGATAAAATATCCTTCAGCCTCTCGCTTCCCCCATGTCCCAGTCCTCAGGGGTCCAGGTACTTGTTAGGGGGGTTTTCTTGTTAAACAGAACTGCTCTGGATTGAGCTGTGTCCTGCTGAGGAGAGCAGCATACCCCAGGAGAGTGAATAACATCCCTTCTCCACAGCCATAGCCTTCCATGGGAGGGTCAAGTTAATTATGACAAGACCACAATCTGTCATGGGCTATAGAAGGAACCACCTCGAGGGGAGCCCTTCTAACTTATGCTGGGTATATGCCCAAATTCCTTTTCAGGCTTGTTTTATCCAGAAATCAATCAACTTGTTCCACACAGCCTCTTTTACCAGTAGTGGGGGAAGACAGGGACAAAGCATTGCAGTGGCTGCCATGTGGAGAATTGGTTTCTTTATCCATCCTCACAACATAGGTTACCGACCCTAACCTACTGCTGCTCATCTCCAAGTGAAGGATCACTGGCAAGATTGTGAGGCTTAGGTCTTCAACAGTGTTGGGCAATTCTGGCCACTTTTGTTCACCTTCACTGTCAGAGTAGAGCAGCTAGCTGTGCACAAGCAGGGTGAGGAGTCCTTGGAGGCCTCAGGGGTGTAACTTACTTGGCTTTGCTCTGGCAGATTGCTGATCTCCTTTGCAAATGACAGTGATGCATATGTGTGGACTGGATATATGTATGCCATTGTCTTGTTTGTTGTGGCTCTCATTCAGTCGGTCTGCCTTCAGAATTATTTTCAATTTTGCTTCGTGCTGGGCGTTAATATACGAACAACCATCATGGCTTCTGTATACAAGAAGGTAAGCAGAATATGTCAGGTATCACCAACAAGATTAAAGAAAATTCAATGAAAATTATAGACTTAAGTGTTTCTTTGGAGATTAAAATATGAAAAATGTATTTAAGGACATAGAGCATGGGGGGCTGAGGAGGGAGAGGATACACCCCAGGGGGAAACTGGCAAGCTCTTCTGGGGCTTGGGGTCTGCCTTTCAGCCTTGACAGTTGGATACCTGTTCACCCCTTCCTGCCTCTCTTGACAAGGTAAAAATGCCTTGAGAAAGAATGCAAAGTCAGAAAAAAGAACATCAACATTTAATCCAAATCCTAGCAACGCATTGTTCTGATCTTTACTAGCTACTCAAACCCTCCTCTGCCTGACTTCTTTGTGTGTGTGTGTGTGAATATATTCACTCTGATTACTGAGTTCTGCTGACTTGGGAAATTTCCATTTCCTTAAGATGACTGTGCTCATCTTCCCTCTGATATTTTTGTTTTTGAGCCAGGCTCTGTCACCCTGGCTAGAGTGCAGGGGCATCCTCATAGCTCATTGCAACCTCAAATTCCTGTGCTCAAGCCATCTTTCTGCAACCGGCTCTCAAGTAGCTGGGAGGACAGGTGTGCACCACCACACCCAGCTAATTTATCTAAGCTAATTTTCATTTTTTACTGATAGGTTCTGGCATGTTGTCCAGGCTGCTCTCAAACTCCTGGGCTCAAGCAATCCTTCTGCCTTGGCCTCCCAAAGTGCTGGGACTATAGGTGTGAACCACATGCGTGGCCTTGATATACTGTTTTTAATAAGGCTTAACTTTCTCAGCGCAACTATATTTTCCTCATGTCTTCAATACCAAGGTAAAGTCCCTAAAAGAAATGAAAATATAGTAGGTATAATCAGTGACTATAAGCTTGAGGAGAAAATTCATACATGAGAAGACAGGACTTTTTATAGGTCAAAACATCAGTTATTTTTCTTTCTCTTTTTTTCTATTCACTACAAAATTCTATCACAGTGACATCCCTCTTATAGTTCCAAGTTTTTTCCTTTGCTTTCCTCTCTTGAAATACTAATATATCTTTGTCTTCCTTGAGTAGATGTTGACTTAGGTAACCCAAGTGTTTTTACATTAGCAGTCTGGTCAAGCCCTTTGAACTCTCAGATACCTCCACACTGGAATTTGTCTTCTCTAAACTTGATTTTTTAATCTTTTTTTTTTTTTTTTGAGACAGACAGAGCCTCATTTTGTCAACCTCAGTAGAGTGCCATGGAATCTTAGCATACCTGTAGTTATAGCTGTTTGGGAGGCTGAGGCAGGAGGATCACTTGAGCCCAGGAATTTGAGGTTGTAGTGAGCTATGACGATTCTACTGCACTCTAGCCCAGACAACAGAGCGAGAATCTATCTCAAAAAAAAAAAAAAAAAAAGCTGAAAAAGAAAAAACATATGGTAGTGTTGAGAGACATAACCCTTATCCTCAGAGTTTATATCTGGTAGAGAAATAGAAAGACAAAATAATTATGGCTTATTTTGATGAATATAATGATAGAAGTAAGCACAGGATATTATTAGGGTACATAGGAGAAGAATCTAACCCTAACTTGGCAGTGTAGTTTTCTCAGAGGAAGTTGCATCTCAGCTGCCACAAAAGGATGAACAGGAGTCTTCTGTGAAAAGAAGCATGTGGACGGGTAGGGCTGGAGGAAAGTGGGACTAGGAGGAAGGAGTGGTCAAGAATGAGGGAACTCTGGAGGCAGGAAGTCAGGGTGCCAGGTAGGTGCTATGTCTATAGAACCCATCCCTCCTCTGTGTTCTCATTTCCTGAGTTTCCCCTTCTACTCCTCAGTATCTTTAGCCTGGTCCCTGGGTCTTAATTCCAATCTGTATCTTTAGGCGTTGACCCTATCCAACTTGGCCAGAAAGGAGTATACCATTGGAGAAACAGTGAACCTGATGTCTGTGGATGCCCAGAAGCTCATGGACGTGACCAATTTCATCCACATGCTGTGGTCAAGTATTCTACAGATTGCCTTATCCATCTTCTTCCTATGGAGAGAGCTGGGACCTTCAGTCTTAGCAGGTGTTGGTGTGATGGTGCTCCTAATCCCAGTTAATGGGATACTGACCACCAAGAACAGGAATATTCAGGTAAAGAAACAGAGTCACCCTGGGGAACATAAGCCTTCTTTAAAGTCTAAACTTTTTTGCTTGCTCTTCTACTGTGGACCCCAAGCCCCAGGCCATGGACCAGAGGAGTGTCAGGGACTGAGGTACAGAGCTCTGCCCCACTATCCATGGAAAAAATGTCTTCTGTGAATGAAATTTAGGGACTCAGGGACTACACAGCAGGAGGTCAGCGGTAGGGGAACAAAGCTTTGTCTGTATTTATAGCTATTCCCCATTGCTTTCCTCACCTCCTGAGCTCTGCCTCCACCTGTCTGTGGAAAATTTTTCCCCTATGAAACGGGTTCATGGTGCCAAAAGCACTGGGGACTGCTGAGGGCTTTAATTCCCAGTGGGCATTTGGGCAAGGCAAAGCTGGTGAAGATTTTCCATCACCCCATGGCCTTTTTCTATCCCCTTCCATCTCTGACCACACTTGGAGTTTATATACTCTGCTGTACATTTGCATTCATGCTGCAGGAGAGAGAGAAGGGCTCCCCTGGAGACCCTGAATATACTCTCCCATCCTGCTCTGCTGGGCAGCCCAGAGAACAGTGATTTTTGACCCTGCTTCTCCATCATAAAATATAAACCAACCACACAAAGCAGTCACATGAGTGGCCCAGAGTTTAAGCCTGAGTCCTGGCAATCACCCTGCCACCACCAGGTGGAAGGGCTCCATATGGACAGTCTTCAGTACTGCCAGAGTGCCAGGATGAGTGGGTAAAGTTGGTGGTGTATGCAACCCAATCATTCATTTGTTCTATGTTCATTTAGTTACAAGTCATTCTTTTAAACATATTCATTACACATCTTACTTATCTGAGAACACAGTGATAAATTGGGCAATGCTCTCCTGGGTCTTATGTTCCACTTTGGGGAGAGGGTAAAGAGTCAGGCAATAAACAAAGAGGAAAAATATGGGTGGCGCCTGTGGCTCAGTGAGTAGGGTGCTGGCCCCATACACTGAGGGCGGCGGGTTCAAACTTGGCCCCAGCCAAACTGGGCAGTGCCTGTGGCTCAAGGAGTAGGGCACCTGCTCCGTATACTAGAGGTGGTGGGTTCAAACCGGGCCCCAGCCAAAAACTGCAAAAAAAAAAAAAAGAGTATAATAAGTATTATTTAGAGAATTAAATAGGGTGATGTGACAGCAAGGGAGTGGGTGGTTATTTTCAATGAGGAGGTCAAGGAAGACCTCTGTGAGGAGGGGACATTTAAGCTGATTGGGACAACACAGAGCATGACTGTGAAGGAGAAAGCTTTGGAAAGGGCAGGGGAGGAACAGCCTAGAAAGAGAATGCAGTCAGGCAAAGGCTGTGGGGCTGAAGCAAGGCTGGCGTGCTCAAGGATCAGAGAGAAGGTGGGTGTGGCAGGAGCCGAGTGGCAAAGGGCAGGGTAAAGAGAGAGGAGTCCAGCGTGGGGCACCTCAAGTCCTTACTGAGTGACAGCCACAAGCACCACAAAGGACTGAAGTCTGCAGCAAGCCTGGACCTTCTCTCATGGAAGTGTTTGATTTTGTTTTGCTTTTTTTCCTGGCAGGTAAAAAATATGAAGAATAAAGACAAACGTTTAAAGGTCATGAATGAGATTCTCACTGGAATCAAGGTGAGGAGCTGAGTGTACATGGTTCTCCGGGTACAGTGACAGAAGTGGTGGGTTAGCTAAGGTTAGCAAGCCTCCGGGGAGGTCGTGAACTCCTGCTTCTGGGCCTGTTGTGTCTCACACCAACTCCTATTTCATCTTCTACTTTCCCTTCCAGGCCCTCCTTTGAATCTTGGTTTCCATTTATTTACCCTAACTGGGGCTTGAGGTGGAGGGTTGTTTTGTTTTTTTACATTTTAATGTAGAAATGTTTAAGTCTAACAAAAATATAATGATATAATGAATGCCTGTGGACTTAATCACCCAGCTCCAGCAATTATCAGCCTGACCTAACTAGTTTCATCTGTAAACCCACTTCCCACTTCACACCTGGTAGATTTAAATTTAAAGCACATTGCAGATAATCCTGTTATTTCATTCATAATACTTTGCATGTATCTCTAAAAAAGGAGCTCCCTTTGTTAATATAACCATAATATCATTATTACACCTATAAAAAATTAACAATCATTCTTTAACACCACCAAATTTTCCAAGTTGCCTTATACCTGCCTTTTTTCTTTTTATTGTTGGTTTGTTTGAATAAAGACCCCCAAAATGTCCCTGCATGACATCGACAGTGTTTAATTACCCCCATCTCTCTGTGTGTCATATTGAGAAAACCAGGTTATTTGTCTTGTTTCTTGTATTCCTTGTAAATTGATAGTTAGATCTAAAGACTTGATTATATTTACATATTTTATTTATTTATTTTTATTTTATTTTTTGAAATATAGTCTCACTTTGTCACACTTGGTAGAGTGCCGTGGCATCATAGTTCACGGCCACCTCAAACTCCTGGGCTCAAGTGATTCTCTTCCCTCAGCCTCCAAAGTAGCTGGGACTATAAGCACCCATCATAGCTCCTGGCTATTTTTAGAGATGCGGTCTCCCTCTGGCTCAGGCTGGTCTCAAACCTGTGATTAATCCACTTGCCTCGGCCTTCCAAAGTGCTAGTTTTATAGGCATGAGACACTGAGCCTGGCCTACATTTTTTTTTTTTAGTTAGGGGAGGAACACAAGGTAATTTTTTGAGTGAGGCCATGTGCTTCCAAACAGCGGTGGCGATGCCTATTCAGTGGGCCTGGTCTTGTCGGCCTAATTTTTCCTTATGAAGTTTCCCACCATTCTTTCACCCAGAGCAGTGGTTTGTAACCTGAGCAGCACATCAGGATCACCTGAGAATTTGTAAAGTCTGTCAGGGCCAAAGCCTGACTTTAATCCATTTAAACTGGACGTTCTGGGGGTGAGGCCCAGACATCTGCATTTTTTTTTTTTTTTTTTTTTTT